TCCCTTCAGAAATTGGCTGCAAAAGATTGGGGTTGGTACACTTCCAGGTGTGCTACATTATTTTCCCTTTCTGTGTTTCAACAGGCCTTGAACAGGGGCATCGCTGCTGTCAAGGAGGATGCCGTGGAAATGCTGGCCAGCTACGGGCTGGCGTACTCCTTGATGAAGTTCTTCACGGGTCCGATGAGTGACTTCAAAAACGTAGGTCTGGTGTTTGTGAACAGCAAGCGAGACAGGACCAAAGCGGTTTTGTGCATGGTTGTGGCTGGCGCTGTAGCTGCTGTATTTCATACCTTAATAGGTAAGGGCACTTCACGTCTAATAAATATGTCTTTTAATTTGCTTGCCTCGCCTGTTCTTCAAACTGATTAATCGGTAGCTTAAGATTTCATTTGTAAGTGCAATAGGAGATGCAAAGAGGTTAAATCTCTTGGGCTGGTATCATGCCCATCCATGCAGTTTTTATTACTTTTTAAACAGGTTGTTAAGTGGCAGATTCCACCCCCAGGGCTCTCCTGCCTGGCAGGAAAATGTACTGCTGATCTCTTTCAGTCAGGTGTGTGAGCAGAACTCTGGCAAAGTTGACAGGTTGCATGAAGCCAATAGCTCAGTCTCACGGTTGGGTAGTGACGATCAGCTGGCAGTATCTGCCCGAAGGAGTTTAGCAGGGCTCCAGGGTGTGCTTGGTCGGGCTGTTTGTCAGAACGTGGTGGTATTGTCGGTGTACTCCCTCCGTACCTATCCCTTCGCTACTTACCTCACTAAGCAAGTAGATGCCAGCATCCTCATTAAAATATCAGGTGTTACTCTTTACTAGCACTAGTAATCACCCACTTCTGTTGAAAGAGAAGTGGTTACTGAGAGCACTTTATGCCAAACCGAGACCAGCTCCCTGAGTATACTCTGAAGCAAAGAAAATACGCAAGCAGATATGAACTGAACATAAAAAGTAAGGCAGTCGCAGGATTTGCCAGTTTCTGAGAGCCTGGAGAAATGCGATATCAACACAAGCGTCAGCCGGCTCCACAACAATAAAAAGGCGTGTGACCTGGAAGACTTTAACTTCATCCTCTCCAAGAACTGCACCAGATTCCCTGCACCTTCTGGCTCATTCCGCAGAGCTGAAGCCTCTGGACCTCAGCATTGAGGAATAGGAGTCACTGAAGGAAGAAGCAGAGAGAGCGTTGCATTCAACAGGTACAATCTTAAAAGCTGGGAGCTCGAAAGGATGGGAGGAGGGAGGTAATGCAACTGCCTATGGAGATTGACAGGCCGTAGTGTTGAGTCAGATGACCAGCAGCAGAAAGTCATTCCATCACAAAAAGATAGGAGATGAGAGTCTGATGGCAATATCCAAAATTGCCACGAAATTACAGAGCGGCCTGGAAATGGGGCAACGTTCGTTATGGGGCTTTAGTATCTCAAGAGCAGCATGTGCTGCTGGTCAGCATATAGTTCTTGCCCAAGTAGGTACAAGAGCCATTTGATAAATACAAATGCCCCCTGCTCTTATCCTTTAACAGGCTACCGGTTATATGCACCAGCTTTACGTGCCTCCCAACCACTCCAGTTTGTTTGGCCACTGTGTCTGTTATTCTAGCACTGATACAACAGCCCCATGCTCTTTACCTTTGCTCTGTGTTATGGTCATAATAAATGTTTACAGTAACAGCTCACCAGCCATGGCAACTCAGTGTCAGAGACAAGCTGTTGCTGATTTTATAAGCTCAATCTATGCATTCCAGTTAATTTAATTCACCAGTATTGATTGGTCACTTCTTCAATATGTTTACAGTTGAGTCTGCTTTATTGAGTCAGTATTATAAACTTTGGGCCATTTATACGTTTGGCTCTCTTTTTTTTTTTTTTTTGCTTGGAATGTTTCTTCAGCCCCCAGAGCTGCTCTTCTAGTTGCTTGCTTGTTTTCCTGCCAGGGCTGGTCAAAGTTTTTGGCTTTGCCAGCTGGATAAAGAAATATTTTCTAGTCATCCAACATTTTATTTTAAGCTCTGATAGATTTTAAGAAAATGTAAAGTATAACTGTCAGATTTCCAGGTGAAAGATGTAGCTGGATTTTCCATGTGGCACTTCTTGTTGAAGGGAGGTGTTTGGGGCAGCCATTTGAAAAACGTGCCAGATAAGTTACTTGCCTTTGCCTGGAAATGGAGCCCTGCTGAGCTCAGAACCACTGAAATGCCCTCTGCAGATACTGGGAAAAAGAGAAAAATGGCGGCTGTACTTACCGTGCTTTAAAGTCCTGAATTAAAGGGCTTCACACAATCTTTCAGCTGCTTATGGTGGCAGACTGCAAAATATTTTTTAGTATTTTAACTTGTCTATGCCTGAAAATATGCAAAGGCCACAGCAGAGACTGGCAGAGAGCCCGAGAGAATGGAGTTAGTCAGATTCTAGCACCAGTTGCCTGGATGACGTTGCCAAGTTTTGCATTCCAAATTTCCTTTGAATATGTTTCAAATCCTGATTATTCTTCTCTGACCCACAGATGCACAACCTGCCTAGCAGGAGGAAGAGTCCAGTGGCAGACAGGCAAAAATACAGGTTACTGATGCTCGGCAGATGAAAAACAGAAACAAACAGTGCTCAGGAGACTAAATTTCTTCCACGTGCCATGTGTATGAGGCTAAGGAAGATGACATGACTGTCTGACATGACATGAAGCCCAGGAAGGAACAGGGAACAAAAAACCCAATGAAATAAGGAGGAGTACCGAAAGTCTGAAGGAAGAAAACAAGTGGTGGTAGAAACATAGTGACCACGATGAATCACCACGTTTCCAACTGTGATAGAAACTATTTGCAGTCTGCACACACAGCTCCTCACAAACAGCAGCCTCTACTTATTTAAAATATCAAAACAGATCATTTCACCCACCTGACTCATTCTTCATTGCTTCAGCACCATCTCCCCACTGCCGCTCTCCCACTGGGGCTATCTCAGTCCTCTGTGGGAGTGACTGGCTGAGCCAAACCACTCGAACTCACAGTTGCAAGCTCTGGCTCCCTAAGTCATCATCTCACCACATTCCCATGAACATCCACAAAGTCCTTGCCAGCAGTTCCTATCACTCCCCTGTACGCGTAGCAGTAAGAACCAAGAAACAAGTTGACTAGACCAAAGGGAATTGAAACCATATTCTCCTCCCACTCCTAATGCTGCGGCAGACCTTGGTCAGTACAGTATTCCTGCTTTTGCTGTTTCAGTTCCGATCTGGAAAGAGAAGATAGTATGCTGCCTTCCTTCCCTTGTGCTATTTTGGGGGCAGTTACTGCTACCGGTTAGGGTTTCCTGGTGGAAAGTTTGCTATGTAGCCAGGGTCTAAAGTGTCTCGTTATTGCAGAGATTGGCTTTTGGTGGGAATTTTAGACTGTAGGAGAAGGGATTCAAGATGCTAAGCCTGTCTGTGGGTATGTTTGACATCTTACTGAATTGCCAGCTTGACAGAGGAGAGAATTAATTTATATAACAATATGCTAACATAATGCATTTCATGGTGTTGCTGTTAAGCCCTCCATGCTAAATGGGTCCTTTTAACACCAGTGCCATGAAAGACATGCACATTTTCTTCAGCAATAAACCAGCACTTTTCAGTCATTCACTAGTTTACTCAAAAATAGTGTATGGAGAAAGCTTATTTCCTTTTGCATGTTAATATTACTTTCTACAGCTCTCTGAGGTTCTGGAAATGAAAAGGCAGAAATTACTTTGGGGAAGTATCCTCTTTGCTTAAGTAGACATCCTTAACAATTGCACACCACATCCAATTATTGTCTTTACCAGGAAAAAGAGGTTGGAACTCTAGTAACCAGGCAAACCCATAGCAGATTGGATGGTCCAGACGTGCGAGTGATTTGTTTTGTGGCAATTTGTTACTGACAGGCTAGCGGGCATGGGCCCCTCCCTGCCCAGATGGCACAGGGGAAAGCTTCTAGCAGTTGCTCGTAATTCCGCTGATTCATTTGAACTTTCCTCGTGCATGGTCACTGCATGCACATGAAAGATCTGCATAAGAAGCAAGACATAGGTGTAATCACACCACTTCTAATGTAACACTTCTAATGTAATTTTGTAGAGGCTAGGAGCTGCAGAGTGGCTTATGACAACCTGAGCTATTTTTTCCAGTCAGTCTTATTCCGACATGCCCGCTGTACTGGCTCATACTGAACATTTTGCCCTGGAAAAAGATGATAGCAAAGGAACACAAATCAAGATATAATCCAGACTTGCTTTTTATTTTCTTTCTAAAAAATGATAAAATGTTGTTCATTAAAAATATGTGCTGCTTCAGCATCTTCAGATGGCCATTGCTAAAGCAGTAACATGCTTCCTCAGCTGTCCCAACCCTTATTCCAGAACAGGGGCAGCTTCTTACCAGGAAGGTATTCAAGGCAAAGGAAGAAGGAAGAAAGCCTATGACCAAAGCATCTGTGGATTTTAGGATAGCAATGATTGCTTTTTAGTTAAAACAGGATAATTTCAAGACTTATGAGGTGTTGGCCTACCTAAAGACATTTCAGCAGTCAACAGTCATTGATAGATTTGGGAAAATCAACTAATGCAATTTTGGAACTGGATCTGAGCACACAAGATGACTGCAGTAATCAGTCTGCATTGAGATGCTCCTAAGCTGGTTTTTGTTGTTTTTTTAATTCATTTGTTACTGTGAGCAAAAACATCACAAAGCCTAAAACATTCTGGTCATCTGGGCTTTCACAAGGGGGACATAAAGCTTTTGCTTTTGCTTTAAGTCAGGCTAATCAAAGACGTAAAGAAATCTATGTATGTACCCTGTGCCATCTCCAAATGAAGATTTGCCATTCAACTACTTATTTTTTTTTCAAATTGACATTTTCCTGCCTGCCCAAATCACTTAGCTGAACAGACTCCTGACCAGCACCAATTCTGGCCATCTTTCTGACAAGCAGCAGACTAGATTTTTACTTCTCAAGTCTCCAAGTTCATCTTTTAAAACTGGCAGTGAAGTATGAAAGTGGAATGCATCTAAAAAAACCCCACTTCAACCCAAAAACACTTTTGTTTTTTTTTTCCTCCAGTAAAGCTAATATTGACATATGTAGCTCTATGTCTGGAAGTAAATGGTATCACTTCCTATGAGGGTTTCTTTTTGTTTTCTTTGTGATGTAAGTATAACATGCTTGGTAGTAGACAGCTCCAAAATGACTACGGTACAGCTATTTGTTTGAGACTGCTGGCATCATTAAGAGCGCGTTCAGTTCTTTTGAGAATGTCTGAAATTTATGTGGTCGTAATCGCCTTGTTAGAGAAGTCAGTGTAGGGAAGAGGAGATGCAATTAGGTATGCTGTATTCACTGTCATTTCTCAAGCTTCTGGCTCTTTAAACTCAGCTGGAAAAGGCAAAAGCAAGAATCCTTGCTTAAATTCTGCAGCAAAACTAATCCATAGACCTATCAAAATAAATGAGATATTAGAGGATAGCAAACAGGCAGCTTGTCTTGGAGCTGGACTTCTCTGTTTTGGTTGAAATGATGCAAGGAATGGGAAGAGCCATCTGCTTTAGATTCATGTAATACTCTTCAGCTCTGTTGTTAGTTTCATACCATGCTTCGTAATAAGTTTGTAAGGTTGGCCAAGGTTAAGTTCTAATTGCATCAGCGATTGCTTTATTCACAACTCAGAGCCACGTGCCTGTATATTTGTCAGTAAATCTCAGCTCGCTGAGTCCTTCTTTCTGAGGATGGAGACATTCATGGACATCAACAAAAGGGACTGTGTGCTTCCACTGACATAGTTGACTATTTGAAAACTAGTTTTTAAGGTTAGCCATTACGATTTTAAAATCAAAATCACATTAAAAAGTGCAGTTAGATTTTTTTTTTTTGGATGAGGGAGAGAAAAAAGAATCATAAAGCTTACAGAGCACAGCGCTGATATCCCTAGAAATCTTAAAAATGTGGTGCTGTGGGCTGCGGTGGTATAAGTCCCTTGAAAGGGAGTGCCCTGCCAATAAAATGCAACCCTGTGGAGAACTGTCTGTTCCTAGAAGTGAGAGCAGTTCAACCTCTGTACCCTCTGATTCTGTAATTTTTCTGGGATAGTAAACTTAAAAAAAAATAATAATTTAAACATGTCAATGGCTTTTAGAGCCAAAAAGGTTACTTAATACTCACTTTCTAAACAGTTTAAAAGTCTCCTTTAAAGCAGGAGAAGCCCAGCAGGTGAAGTGCATGGAGAGCATGGAGGGTGACTTCTGTGGCATGCTGTCTTCCCAGCACTGCGCTGCTGGGGGAAACCTCTCCACAGGAGCAGGTTCCTCAGCACCCAGACTCCGATTCTGTCAGTCCCCGTGTGGGGAATTGTACCGGAGTGTATCCTGCAGCAGTTTTTTAAGTTTTTGTGCCGGAGAAGTGTAATGCAACTTCAAGGGCACCTAAGAGACAGCTCAATGAATCTGACCCTCGCAAGACGCTTGCCTTACGTGCCTTCCAAACTTCTTCCTCATTCAAATAAGTTCATTCAGAAACAGCCACGTACTGCCCTGCCGTAAAAGCAGCTTTCCACAGGACTGACCATGCAAAGATCCATGAGTAACAGAGGGTTTTCAAAATACTGAGCAAAAATTGGTATACGGATATTCACACAAAAATAAAAAGAGGCTGTGCTTGGTGTGTGACTGGGCTGCAACAAGCACATGAACACTTAAATAACTCAACTGGCCTCCCTGGAATCAGAAGAGGTTGGAATCCTGTTTTAAAGATTTTCCTTAATCCTGTTCAAAAGGAAACGAGTCTGGAGGTGCCTCAGGAGGATGGCTTAAGCAACCTGGTGATTACTGGGTGAACTGAGAGACCGCGAGTCTGTCGTAGTTCAGATGAAAGACATGCAGATACGGACCAGCACAGGGAAAGGGGGAGTTTTTAATGTTTTAGCAGTTTTCTTTTGGGTGGTCCTGGTTATCTGGAATGAGGCTCATGCTTGTTCCCAGTGCTGTCATGCCAACTTCTTTTTTACTACCTTGTTTATCTTATTTGGACTGAAAAAGTCTTTTCAGTCCTGTTAACCATTTAGCTGCTGTGTCCCTAAGCCATCACAAGACAATGATGACTTAAACTCTTTAGTTGCATCTAAGCCCTGTTTATGATGTAGGAGAGTTAGTTTTAGGCTAAAAGATTGAAGTGAACAACTTGTGTTAGCATAATCGATCCGATTATGTGACTTGCATGTATGAGAAGGATAACTTTCCCTGAAATATGCTATATGAAGGTCTGTACAATGATAATAGAGATATGATAAATGGGAAAATCATCGTATAGGTGTTCACATTTGAAATAGTTATCTTAGAAAAGACACAAGTGGAGGAACTGAGGTAAGATTCACCAGGCACAAGTAATTCTGCCATTACTTGTGTTGGGAGGTTGACTTTACAACCTAATCATTCTTTTAACGCTTACTACAAGTGCATAGAGGAAAGTACGTAATAATTTGCAGGTCTAAAACATGGTTTATAAAAGGTTAAAAGCTATTCGGATTGTTTAACTGTGCATGTTATTTGAGTCCCCGTAGTTCAGAAACTCCAGTCATAGCTAGCTCTTCGTTCTTCCTGGTCATGGGGAGGACTCTGGGGTTATTAACGCGGCTGGATAACATGGATACTAACAGAGACGTAAGCAGTTCTTTAGAGAGACGTGTGGCAATCCCTGTGTTTGTGTTGTCTTCAACCCAACACCTTGGGAAGAGAGACCTGGTTAGAGGTGTGTTGCCAAACGCTAAAAATTCCTGTCTCAGGTTGAAATAAGATGGCGAAATAACATACCGGCAATCCGAAGTGGTAAGCCCCTGATTTCCAGCAGTGCCCTGTTCTGACTTGCGGCTCCTGAGATGCCAACTTTAGGTAAGGAAGGAAACTAAGGGTGGTGGAGGCGGCCCAGAGACTGTACAGTAAAGGGCACAGTGCCTTTTAATAATGCACATGAAATTATCAGTGTGATTTGCTGCATGCCTTTGCAATTCATAGTATTGTTTTGCAGCTTTGGGCGGGTTTACAGGTAATGTCATGAGAATGCAGTGACAATAAATGGTTTCAGCTTGTATAAGGTGCTACATCCCATGAAATACACAATGCCTGGTGAAAACAGCTTTTCTAACAAAGACCCTTGAGTTAATGAAAAAGCAGTAGATTTTCTGGAGTACCAGTGTGTTCATTTAGCAAACAAATGTGGCACTTACTATACCTCTCCCAGCTCAGCCATTTGTATCACTCCTCTGCCAAAGGTTACTTGAAAAAGAACCCTGAGAGCTCTCCTTAGTCATAAACAGCAGTTGGTGAGGCTGTAATATCCTGAAGCCCTTGCAGCCGTTTGCCAAGTGGATGCGTGTCTGAGCTCCTAGGTGTCACGGTCTTTCAGGTACTTCTGAGTATCTCACCCATATGTAACCTTTATTATTCATTCCTATTCTTGTGTCTCTACAGCATATAGTGATTTGGGGTATTACATTATTAATAAGCTGCACCATGTGGATGAATCAGTGGGAAGTAAAACTCGGAGGGCCTTCCTTTATCTTGCTGCCTTCCCTTTTATGGATGCCATGGTGAGTGCCTTATTCAGAACTGAGTTTTAGTATTAATGTTTATTTTTTTTCTTTGATGACCTTGGTTCACAAAGTCTGTTACCTGATGGGAAACTGGAGGTGTGTAGAAGGTATGCAAAGGTATGTCCTTTGCAAACAGTAGCTCTGGATATACCTGGACACATAATCTTCTGCTACCTGGAAAAAGCGTCTGGGTGGACTTTGAACATCCAGAGATCATGACAAGTGTAAAAACCCTCAGCTGCCTAGTTAGAGTTACCGTATTTGTGTGCTGGAAACCACTGGTCATCTTGTGATGAACCACACTGGTTGTCTGCATGTGTCCTCTCATTCCAGTTTGTAGTGAAAGAGTTGGATTTGCCATGCGTTCCCAGATCACTGGCAGAGCTCACAAGGAATAAAATCAATATTTTCTCATAGCAAATTTGTTGAAAAGATATTTCTTACCGCCAGTTTTTGCAAGCACAGCTAAGTCTAATATATCTCAACTGCTTGGGCAAGAGAGCCACACAGGGGATGGGCTGCTGCTTCTCAGATCACCAGGCTTACTGCTTGTGGCCTGGACAACACAAAAATGTGGTAGCTCTCTTTAATGCCTCTACTTCTGTATAAAACTGGTAAAGGATAACCTCCCATGACATGCCTCTGCCACTTTCTTTACCACTTTATCTGCTTGAATAGTAGTAGCTGACAATAAAAAGAAGTTGGATCATTAAGTTTTCTTTCCTAGACAGGGCTCAGTATAACTCAGTGGGCCAATGAATATTACACTTCAGAGGTGCATCCAGCTGGTGAACGAGAATAAACATTTTTTTTCCCTTGGATTATTTAGTATGATAATCCATCCTGTGCAGCATCTGTTTTATGAAGAAGGGGCAGTTTCTTGTTAGATCTCCTCAGAGATTTCTATACAGCCCATAAAATTATTCGCATTCTCCCTGTCAGCTCTGGCAATGAGGAACTGAACGCGGCAGTGCTTTCTCTGCATTACTGGCTTAACATTTGCCCAGGTTCACACCATGTACTGCTGGTGGAAAAGAGCTTTCTAAGTTGTTTATGTTCCATGTACTACGTACTAACCAGAAAACAGCATTCTGGGATCTGAAATCATTCACAAATATCATAATCACTTCCCAAACTCTTCTCTGCCTTTTTTCAGGCATGGACCCATGCTGGGATTCTGCTGAAACACAAGTACAGTTTCCTAGTGGGATGTGCCTCCATCTCAGATGTCATAGCTCAGGTAATGACTCCTCTTAGCAGTCGCTGTTTCTATTGTGTTATGGACTAGATGCTTTTCTAAGCAGGAACTCTCTTGCACAGAGACCACCTTCTCTCTCTACCATGAACAACACACCAGAGGCAGCAATCTTGTGTGCTGTTCTCTGGCTGTTTCCCCATCGTGTGGAGGCTGTTTGCTGACAGTTGTGGTTTAGGGTAGTCTCACTTGACTGGATCAAGTCAGTCCCAAACCAATGTCAGGAGAAGGGAACCAGGATTGTTTGGGCTAGGGCCATGGTTTCCAGCACCTCCACAACCCTGTTTCAGAATGGCTGAGAAACAAGTTATATATACATGTCTACAGCTGGGGAAAAAAAAGGTCAGGCAAAGAGACTGATGACTGCTACCAATCCTGACGGAATGCTTTGAAAGAGACCTTTCTCCCCACTGTGCGTTCTCCCCCACGCTTCACACAGTTGCACTGAAATCCTGAGTAGGGCTTTTAGGTGGGGAAGCGAAGGCTTGATTCTCCAGTTCACCTGTCAGTTTTGCACATGCTGTCTAATCCAGTGAAATGCAGCAGTGTAAACCATCTTCTGAGTGCCGGTATGGCACTGTCCTTGTACTAATCCAAAACATGAAGGGTCAGAACTGCAGCAGAAGGGATGTGTGGTGGTAGCTCCTGGGTGATGCAGAGGACACCAAATGTTCTTTGAAATTCCATTTGTGAAGGAGGTGTTAACTATCCTGTTGCTTTGTACCAGACACATTTAAAAAACAACGTTCATACGCATTGCTGATGGCCAGTGTTGTAACATTTGAGAACCAACATATAGCCTTCTTTTTGAAGCATATATATAAAAATATTACAAAATGGAGAGTCCCAGCACCTGTAAAACAGTTGCTGTACTGCCCCATTACTAGCTGAATGATGTAATGACTGGGTAAGAAAGAGGAAAATAAAAGTACAACATCAAAGAAAATATGAAGTCTGCAGCACTTAGTTCAATTTTCCGTGGCATTCTCCTCCCGCTAAATATGAGCAAACCATAAACCAGGTTGAACCATTCAGTCAGCTGCTACTACATACTATAGATGTTTGGCAGATCTGCCCCTCTACAGTACTGCATTAAATCCCTGAAGATAATACCAATTACTGTAAATGACCTTAACCCTCAGGATCTGCTCTTGTTCTGATGTGACCCACAAAGCTTGCTGACTCTACACACGTGTTGGGTCATATACAGCTAAATACAGAAACAAATTCTTATTTTGGCTGTGGTACACATGCCCTTTCCACAATGGTTGGTGAGTGGGGTGCCAGGGTTGTGAAGAATAAGTCACCTGTCATCATCTCTCAACAAAATATTGCACATAGTGAAAGCAAATCCAGAAGACAAAAAGTTGTGACTCTCCATACCCCAGAACTCTCTACACCTACATCTGCTCCCTACACAAACCATAGGTGTGCAGGCGGTAGCTAATTCTCCTTGGGTAGCTTCATATACACACTTTTTGTGACTGACTTTGCTTCTGTTTACTGAAAAACAATTCTTTTGTGGAGTTCAAAAGAGCAGTTTGGCAAACCCTCATAAACAGCATAGCCTGCCTAATAAACCTTTGCACAATGTGAATTTTCTTAAATATTTCTTTAGCTCTAGCAATGAAAGAGAAAACTTGCCTGTGAAAAATGTAGTTTGTGTTTCTTGTTATTCACTTGAATGCCAGCATGTCCTGGCAGGGTTGTCCTTGATTCTGCTGTTCACAGCACCAAACTCAGTTGGCTTTCCAGTTGTGCTCCCTATCCAGAGACGTTTAGAATTTAACACGCACGCCATCAGCTCTGTGCTTAACAAAGAGAATAATATCCTATTAATCAATTCCTTTGCATTTTCTGGATTGAGCATTTAATCTTATGAGACTGAATTATGAGCTGTTCATTAGCCCAAAAGTTTCCATTTCATTTACTTCAGTGCAACACTCAGATAGCTGAAGAGAGAATGATGAAATACTGAAATTTCACTCAAAAAAGTATGAAATTAGGATGACATAAGACTTCCTGCTTCTAAATGCTGAAGTGAATACTTTAGAACATCTGGCTTTTTAATTGCCCCTGTCTCCCCTCTCCCCTCAAAAAAAAAAAAAAAAAGTAGGGCTTGGAAGCTGACCTTAGAAGCATGTCTCCAGCCTCAGTGTGTATCAGAATAGCACGTTCTCCTGGGAAGGGCTGCACTCAGCCACATGCTTGCTTCCAAACCTTGCCAGACTTTCATGCTAACCTTCTCCTATTTCTGGCTCCTAGTCTGACACCTGCCCATACCTTCAAGTACTGTTTAGTAGAGCTTCTGTATGATGTTCACTCTCATTCTTTTCGTTTGTGTGACCGAATGCAGGGAGGTCCTGGCTAAAGTTTCACATGTCACAAGCTCAAAGTCAGTTGTTGGTTCAGATGGACTAGCTTCGAGCCAGACAGGAGATATGTTCACGTAAAGAAACACACAGACAAATTACTAATCATTTATTTGTTTGCCCTGCAGGTTGTTTTTGTAGCCATTTTGCTTCACAGTCACTTGGAGTGCAGGGAGCCTCTCTTGATCCCAATCTTGTCCTTATACATGGGAGCACTTGTCCGATGTACCACATTATGCCTCGGATACTACAGAAACATACATGATGTCATTCCTGACAGAAGTGGGCCTGAAATGGGAGTATGTCTTAATACTTTGTGCTTTCTCGAATTTAGTATTTTTAAACTTGCTTTTTGTGTTATGATACTGTATTAAACCGCTGTGCATGAAGGGCCTCCTCTCTCTGTCCTGCTGGAAAAAGCATTTTCACTTAAAGAGGCATGGTAGTAAGTATTCCAGCAACAGGGCACATAAGGCAGTGCTTCCCATGGTATGGATGTGCTGTCAACTGAGCACCTCTGTACTGAGCTGTAAGACAACTCAGCATGACCCAAGTGGACACCTTATTTCACAGGGAAGAAGGTGTCAAAATTCCTCTTTTTTCTCAAATGTCGTGCAGGTTTTCACATGTCTTTGTCTGGTAGCCAGAACAAATTGTGCAGATAGATACCTTATGCATTATTTATTGAGATCCATGACGTAGCTTCTTTTGAATCAGTATTACTAACATGAGAGAAAATATTTTAGGCTCCTCATATTGAAAAGTACTGGAATGAATGTACAAAACTGACAATGGGTGGAAAAAGCAAAAATCCCTTCTCTATGCTTTTGGTTCAGTTCTGTATGTTTTTTTCCAAACCCTCTTCTCTTTTTTTATTTTTTCCTACGTGTTGCAGGGAGAGGCTACAATACGGAAGATGCTGAGTTTCTGGTGGCCTTTGGCATTAATTTTGGCAACTCAGCGAATAAGTAGGCCCATAGTCAACCTTTTTGTCTCCCGGGACCTAGGTGGCAGTTCTGCAGCCACAGAGGTAAGAAAGGCAGTGCTCTCCATTACTGTGTACAGTCATTTACATGGAATTACCTCTGTGCTTCTCTTCTCAGTCATATTGACAAGAAAGAATTGTCTTAAGTACATTTCTGTTTAGTGTTCTCTTTATCCTTGAAAAGAAGACTGCTTGGACTCTTACTATGAGTGTTTCTGCCAGGCTTAGTGGAACTTCACCCTCAACAAGACCAGCAGAATTTTTTCAGTGAACAGTTCCTGCATCCCAGGTTTTTATGCTCCACGTATAGGTACATATGCTCTGGAGCGTTCAGATCCCAGAGATTTTAGGACAGTCATCAGTAGTCCATGCTCCGCTGTTTTCTGTCATCTGTGTTTATGGCTGTGCGAACTGATGTGAAACTACTGTTAGCAGTCAGTGCATCACACAGAATAGGGTAGAGACATGAGGAAGCATGTAAAAAATCCGGCTCCTGGTGGGGATATTGGCCAACTCTCACTGCTTCTGTTTGGACTACCAGCACAGTTATGGTGATTGGGGTACCTTTTTTGGTGTTGGCTTTGATGGAGGACTTTTTCACCTGTCACATATAGGTTCTAGACATTTAGGAAAGCTTTCATGCACATATTTTGGGATCCCACCAATTGAAGAAAAATACTGGAAGAAAAATCACCGCTAAAAGCATCAAGAATTTAATCCAAGTGGAATCTAGCATGCCAAAGGTGGTAGTGAAATATTGTTTTAACAGTAACTGTGTCTTTGCAGTCTTTTTAGACTTCATCATGAAAATAAGCAAAGTATCTTTTATATTCCTGATTTGATTCAAACTAGTTAAGTTTCATATAGATGAAAATTCTGTTGAAAATACAATAATGAGGGTACTGTCTTAAAATTCCTATTTGTTTTCTTTGAACCAATTACTTTTTCAAGGTACATTAAACATTATTATAGCTATTATTAGTTGGGAAGAATCTATCCTACTTTCTTCCTTTCCGTGGATATCACTACTTTCCTCCTCTTTTTGAACAGCACAGGGAACAAATTAACTTTGTACATGGTTCTGTGTTTCTATAGATCTTTTAACCAAGCAAAGACAGTAATTACATGTATAATGGGAAAATGGGCTTAGGTAATCAAGAGAACGTACATGAAAAGTTTAGGAGTGAAACAGAGGCAGCAGTAGTTAAAAAAGGTCCTTCTTTAAGCTACCATTACGAGATGTAAAAGGAATCTGAATTTAGGTAGATTGTAACAGATCTGAACCTGCAGACAAAAGGCAGTCAAACACTTTGATTTCTGAAATTAAGAGAGTCAGGCAGTTCTCAGTACAGATGGGACACTTCAGCTCTGAGGACAGGAAAACTTGGGGTGACAGTAGATTTCCAAGCAGCTGCAAGAAGAGCTCTCTAAACACAAAAGACATGTAGTACATGTATTTGGACTTTTTCTTCAGAAATCAGAAACATCAGCAAAATCTTTCATACATTAATATGTAGAGGGGTTTTAAGTCTTTGATGTGCCTCTTGGACTGTACTCGCGAAAGTGCAGAAGGGCCTAGTTTTAAATTGCAGGCAGTGAGTTGTTTGTTGTGATAAAAATTATCACCTGGAATTATTTTTGTCTGGTTTTCAATGATGAGCAATGAAGTGGGGAGAGGGTATTTTTTGGTCTCATAAGTATCTTCTGCCCCAGAGCAGTCAGTTTGATGTGCAAAGTCAGCCAGCCACTGAGACCTGCTGTTTTGTAGTCTGTCGTACTTAAATCTGTTTTACTTACGAATAACTAAGTAAAATGTATATAAATCAAAATTATGAAATACGATCCAAAGCTATCATGAGCCGTAAGGCATTCTGCTGCTCAGGTATCTGTAGGTAAAATAACTCAGGAGCAATGTGGGAGGGAGGTATTCGGCTGGCTGAAGGGCACACGCCAGCTCAAGTTAACTATAATCCCAAAGTGTCCGAGTGATGGTGAAACGGCAAAGCTGAGTAATGTAGTTTCACGGCACGAAATATTTTGTGAGCTTAAAACACGAGGCCAAGTGATGGCCACTCTAATGGTCTTCCTGAAACAAAGAGCTTCCAGTCACCTACCTGGTTTCTTACTGTGCCAAAGTCAATGTGGTGATATTGGTGGGAAATGGCACGCTCTGTTAGTTGAACTGTTCATGTTTCGTTGTCTCTTTTCATAGGCAGTGGCGATTCTGACAGCTACGTATCCTGTGGGACACATGCCGTACGGCTGGCTAACGGAGATCAGAGCAGTATACCCTGCTTTTGACAAGGTGAGTGCCCATGTTAGGGATGTAATAAATACATTTTGTATGGTTTCTCTTCCGTGATCCTCCTCTTTCTCTCTCTGTTGCATTGTAGTTCAGGGGTGGCCTCAGTGATATCAGAGGAATTTCTGCCAAACAAATATGAAGAAAGTTAGTTCGTGGCACCATAATCAAGTGTAACAGATTCTTTAAAAAAATAAACCAACCAAAGATTAAATAGGGCTATATTAATGGCCATCTGTTGTCTTGCTTCTCTTTACTTTTGCTTTTAATGCCTATTGTTCCTTGTCCCACTGATAAGGTTTTCTTTAAATCTTAGTTAAAATGAATTGGGTTTCAATGGCTTTCAAGCTGTTGTCTGATTTATGAGTTTAACCTTAGCTCTGTGTTACAAGGTATTAAGCTACCTTTTGAATAGAGAGGTGCTGTATTTTTAAGGATTAAAAAAAGTTCTCACTTACTTACTCACTATGATGTAGCTATTTGGGTAATGAAGTGATCTCTCACAAAGTGTGCATCAGTGAGTGAGCAAGCTCACGTCTCTGCTCCAGATTCTGCAGTATCTCTCAAATGGGTTTGGGTTCATTTGCTTATGTTAATATTTAGCAAAGGTTGTTTCATTAGACTGACAGTAACACAGATAACGTACGTTATTTTAGTAGTACTGGCTTAGCTGACCAAGACTATGAAGATATTGTTGGCAAATCATGTAATTGCAAAAGAATCCAAGGACTGCTTCTGGAACTGAGCACAGAGTAAATATATAACCAAAATTAATTTTGTTTAGGTGCTTTTTCTGCTCTCTTTTAGAATCGGTACTCACTAGGCCATATGTTGTGCGAAGAACAGTCGTGTCCTGTGACACTCGAATTCAAATGCCAGATCCTCTCTTCCCATTTATTTACCAATTAGTAACTGAACTTTCTGACTTCCTAACCTGCCTGTGTAGAGCTACACTGACCTGTCAGATAAAATACAACATGCAGGCTTTCTCAGAGGTCATGCTGCTGAAAAGGAAGGACAGATGCAAAACCAGTAAACTGCAAGATAAAAATGGTTTGGGACAGGAAACACAGGGGCTGGTAACCTCATCTGTTACGAGCCACAATCAAAGGCGCTATTGCCTAGCAAAATTAACAGCAATTAAGATCCCTAAATTTCAGTCTCTGTTAGCTGGTGGAAGACGTGCTGACAACTTTAGTGGTGACAGGATTAGACCATGATTTGTCTGGTTTTTTTTATTTCAATTAAAAGGCTTCTCATAGACCTGTTGTGGAATAAATATGAGGAAGAAAAAGCTAGGGCATAGAACAGATAGGTACAGTTTATCTAATTGCAGAAAAAGTATATAATGGGGATTTTAGTTGCGTATCTTAAGAGCAATTTGCCATAAAATGTGCTAAGTGAGGTAGCCACAATATAGAAGGTATCTCATCCTGGCAACCATGTGTGCACATCCCTCCACGGTACCTTTCAGACAAAAAAATATCAAACCAGAAACTCACAGTGGGTTTTTTAGATCGCTGTGAGAATTGCTTTACCCTTAGTCACACGTCATTCGTGTGTCCCTGTGACTTTCGAAAGCTTTGTTTCCTTAAGCTCAGGCTTTCTCAGAAGAGTCTGGATAGAAGCACTTTTTATTTCCAGGCTCTGTAAAGCCTCCGTTGCGATTTTCAGATGCTGAAACAGTTTGCATGCGTGCAAACTCCCATTTTCTTTTGTCAGTTACTCAGAAAGCTGGCAGTGCTGATGGCCATCAGAAGCACGCTGCATCGCCTTAACTGACTGATGGGATTTGGGATCCAGATAGTACGCCCTTCTTCAGCGGCTCTACTGGAGAAGTCAGATTCTTGTCTTCACAGGGAAATCTGTGTTACCTCTGTTCACATTTGCAAGAGAGATGCAGGGTCCTACTTCTGTCTTTTATGAGACTCTGTGTCCACTTCATGGCCTGGCAGTTACACTCAGGTTAAAGGTTACTGCTGATTTTCTGAAAGAAAACAGGCATATCCTAGTTCAGCGCTCTGTTTGCTGTTTTATGTGATGATCATGCCATTGCTCTTAATGAACTATGCCATTCAGAGCAACAACATCGACTGTGAGAAGATTTGTGAATGCTATTTATCTGATTAATCGGTGGGAATGGATACTCTTTTTGCTCCATAATCTGCCTAGTGTTTTGATCCAAGAACTATATAGTGTGCAAGAGATAGGAATAAAGGATACGTGGACAGGAGTTAGAGCACAGGGCAGAATAGAGCAAGGACAGAGTTAGCGGTGAGGTCAGAACGAACAAGAGCCCTTTTTCTTCGCATCCCTTTTGGATGGCTGGATGTGAGTGTGCTTCCCTTCTTCTCTTTTGGTTTAGCCTTGTTAGAAAGTTGAGCCATGCAGCAGAGTTCTTTTAAACACTGACGAGCGATGTAAGCAAGGCCTATCCTCGCATATATAAAACCAACAGTAACAACGTATTTCTCCAGAAACACAAGAAATAAGAATAGATGCATGAAAAAAATTATTACAGAGAGTTTTCATGACCTGTTCCCAAGAAGAGCAGATATGGGAGTAGCTTCCTGCTTTAGGGTCTGGGTTGCCTACATGCATCTTCATGCACCCAAACTTCCAAGCAGATGTTTAGACAGGAGCGTGGGACTGTCCAGGTGCCATCACTGCAATGATCACCACAAAAGCTTTTAAGTTGCAAAATTCCGTCAACTACTTGAATGTATGTGAAATGATGTACCCTTCACAGAGCTCACATTCAATTTGTCCACTTCCAAGATGTGTCTATATAAGCTCCTATTTCTCTTATGAGTAACTTCAGTAAAGGAGGCAGATACTGCTCCTCTACCCGAGTTACATCAAGGATTAATAAATATTGTACTACATCTCATGTTACAGGTTTTATCAGCATGGGCACATACCTGCATATCTCAAACGGCCCCAGGGTAAATGCAATAGATGACCCAACAACCTATTGCTACAGGGCTCCTAATGGTGCCCTGCTTTTGATATTCCATCCTCTCCTTTCATAGACCATTTAGTTTGTTTTTATGTATTCCCTGAGGGCAATTTGAAATTTTCAGCTTCATTTGCTGTATTAGACATTTGGAAGAGGGCCTTTGTTGTGGTTTTAAATAAAACTTCGCTGCCATGTGAGTACAGAGCCCATGTTCAAGGTGGAACATCTAATAGTCCTAATTATGTTCTGTTCATTAAACTGCATTAACAGAGCCAGCTGTTCCAGGAGCCGTGTTTATATTGCCTACTTGTCTAATTGGATCAGTAAGGGTGCTTGCATTGGCGTATGGATTTGGTACCACTCGGGTAAAAAGGAGTGGAATCCTATTTTTTCTGTGAAAACATGCTACAAACTTTAAACTAAGGTTAAAAAAAAACCCATATGGAGTTTCCTTAGAAAGAGTTACCACCCTTTTTCAAAGCTGAATTTGTCAAATTGGACTTACTTCTTCAAAAAGTAGGGAAATTTCTCAGCCCTCCGTGACCATAGGAGCAGTTGCTGTCAGCTTAAGTGGAAAATATTCTGGTGGTGGTACAAAGTACTCAGAAAGCTCTAGGTTAAAAAGCAAACAAGTGTAGACAGACATGCATGCACACAGACAGTCAGGTCCAACGCATGACCCTGGTGCCATCAGCCTCCCGCTAGTCTGGAGCCAAGCTAATGCTCGTTATCTCTTTCTCTCACCCTAGAATAACCCCAGCAATAAATTGGTGAACACCAACAGCACCGTCACAGCAACACATATCAAGAAGTTCACTTTCGTTTGCATGGCATTGTCCTTAACGGTAAGAAACTTTTGTTCAACTCTCTGGCTTTCATCTCAACCAGAAAATTATCTCCTCTACCTAATGCTAAAAGCACTAACAGTTCAAGAAAGGTGAGTTGTCTTTTCTTATAAAGCTGTGCTGCTTTTATCTGGAGGAGAGAGTGTAATCATGGTACTGGAGTACTAAGAAAATCAGCTGTCATTAACTCAGGCTAGATGTCTCGCAGGCTAGACTTATTTTATTTAGTTCTTCTCACTGCTTTTCATTTCAAGTCAACCTCCACATGCAAAGAGGTATCAGAGACTTGCTTTTCTTTTTTCTCTTCTTTTTAATGAACAAAAGTTCTGGCAACTAGCATGTCAGAAAAATGAAAAACTACATTTGTCTCATGTGCAGTGGGATATCAGCCTGTCCCTGGGCATCATTTACTGTGAACGGTGGGAAAGGCAGCACGTGTCAAAACTGCTGTAGCTGTTCCCTGCAGCCTCATGCGGCACTGGTCTTCCATGCTGGGGGTACTTTCATGCACATTGGTTTTGTTTACTCTTAAAATAAATAAAAAGGGTGTCACAGTTTAACCTGGCCAGCAACTAGATGCCTCACAGCTGCTCACTCACCTTTCCCCACTCCTGGGGAATGCAGAAGAGAATTAAAGGGGAAAAGGGAAGGAAGCTCATGGACTGAGATAAGAGCAATTTAATACTAACAATAAAATAAAATTAAAAGTAATAATGATCAATAATAATAATATATTGATATATATTAAAATATGATAATAATATATACAGACAAGTGATGCACAGTATAATTGCTCATCACCCGGTGACAAATGCCTGTCCAGTCCCAGCAAGTGATCTTAAAACGATAAGTCCTGACACTGCAAAGCTGGCTGAGTGAGAAAAAAGAGAGAGAGAGAACTCAGAGAGGGTCCAAGAGAGAGCCCTCAGAAGAGAATTCCGAACTTCCCAGTCAACCCTCATTTATATACTAGATATGATGTTGCATGATACGGAATACTTCATTGGCCAATTTGTCCCTCAATCCTAAACGTAAGCTCAAATCATAAGGGGAGTTGCAGACTCTTGGTCCCTGCCTTGCTCCCCCCTAGCCCGTTGTGCTCCTGAACACTGGCAAAACATGGGAAGCTGAAGGGTCCGTGAGGTCTCAGCACCAACTATGAACATCAGTGCACTATCAACATTTTTTTCTCATAACAAATCTCATTCTAATCCAAAACACAGAGCTATTCTAACTACTAAAAAGAAAAACTAACTGTCCCAGCCGAAACTAGGACAAAGGACAATCTCAGAGATGGTGCTGACATTGACAAATGGATCCGAAGCCCTGTCAGTGCTGGGAAGCACTCCAAGGGGCTGACATTCAGGGAGAAATTTTGCTGAGCCTGCAGCATTTCAAAACAGCCAGCTGGCACACATGTGGACGGTGCATCTTCCCAAAGAAAACTTCCTGCACAAGTCTTTTCAGCAACAAACAGGCAGTTGTAGAAGAAAACTCACACAGGTGGTGGGGACAATGGCAAATAGCAGAGCAGATGACCACAGTAAGTGCAACTTCTGTTTCTACGTAGGATGGATGGATGACAGGTTTTCTGTTTATCTCCAGTGTTGTGTACTTTCCATGGGATAGCTGACTGCTTTGTAACGCTCTTCTCCTCACGTTCACAAATTTACTGTTGAGTACCAGGCGACTGACATAATTTCTCTCTCCCCTTGATTATTGCGTAGAGCCTTCTTGACTGAGTTGCACATGACTTATGCATGAAGGGAAACTAATTTACATCAAAGGAAACCTTACAGTATATGAGCCTGCAGTGTTTGTAACCATCCCCACCACCTTGTCACAACCTGGGAAAGTGGGATCTTTCTGTCTTACTTCATAGTTGAAAATCAAGCGACTCAATCCATCCACAGCTGAATCAGGAGATTTCTTCTGCTCTTTATTTCCTGTACTTTTTCCCTAAACAGCTACGGTTGGCCACTATCAGAGACAGGATTGCATGAGCCAATGTGGCATTTCTTCTGTCTATTCCTAGACTTAAGCTTGAACTCTCTTTTCTTGTGGCTTATGGACCAACAGCTCTGGCTCTAACTTGCATTTCCTATAGCACGTAATGGAGACAGACATATTAGTTGGCCATTGTCTGGAGTCTTTCCACAACTCTGATGTTACCTACCATCACACACGTTGAGGTTTTCTCCTGTGTGCTGTGCCAGGTTATGTTACCTACAGCTGGAGCCTCCCTTGAAGTCTGTCAGTGTTGCTAGAGACCCACGAAGGGGAAAACTTTCCTCTTTATAAATTGTTCTAAGAATACTTTTTCAATCTCAAAGCTTTCTCTGAACTGACTATTTTCTTTATGCTTCTGGGCATTTATCAACTACTCAAGTTCTGATAGATCATGAGCTTCTCACATTACTGTCACCATCCTCTGCAAAGTAATTTTTAATCACTACAATAGGCTTTTGTTTTGTAACTTTACAGGATTTTTTTTTTTCCCAAAAGTTCTTTGTAATACTTTCAAGGGCAGTTCTTTCATAAGCTCATCATGAGAGATCTATCTGCACTGAAATTCCAGAAACACTTTTGAGGTCCATAGCTTTTCCTGTCCTGTTTCTATTTTTGCCTGCTAGTGACAGATTCTTAGGATTGCTTGTCAACGGACAGAGCGGAAAAATAGACACATGAGCTCTAAAGACTCAGTGGATTGAGGACCTGAGCCTGCAAATGCTTCAGCACACAAGTTTAGTAGACATCAATATGACTCAAATTATTACTTGCCATAGGTTCTAAGGAACTTCACTTCAAATTTGACTGTTGCAACCAGGTCAGATGGCCACTGTAGCTGAGCTCCCATCGGTGATTGTTGTGTTTTTTCTGGAGGGGCTCTACTGCAATGAACAGCAGTCGAACTAGTGGCGTCACTGCTGGTAACATCTTCTTTTTGGGAAAGAGAGAAAGAGGCACCCAGGTCGACAAAAAGATCAAAACAAGTTAAATACTTTGACATGCTGTGTGAATCTATTCTTCAGTGGATGATCTATAGAAGGATTCCAGAAGATGGAAGGATGAAGTCCATTAACCAGTGGAAAAAATAACAGTGAAACTTTTAGTATGAGCAGCAATCATGCAGGAAAGTACCCTCCCAGTGTAAAACCCTGGGAAACATCCCAATCATTGAAGACATGCTATTTCATAGAGTTGGAAGAAAAATGTCCTGCCTCCTTCCACAGATCAGTCATGCCTGTACAAGAAGTACTGTCAACCTACTACTACAGCAGAAACACTTTTTCAACCTTGTTGACAGTGTCAGTATTGGGTCAGAGTAAAAAAAAAAAAAGGCATAGTTCTGTTAAGAAACATAACTTTGTTTTTATTTTAAATCTTTATGGGATCTGAAAGGCTGCGCTTGAGTCTTCCCAGGCTGACTGGGCAGCATGCAGGTGTGTTCTGCCAAGTGTGATCATACTGTCTCATGGCTTTGAAGCATCAGGCTGATATTAAAGCTGCTTCTTCAAAAAATGGGAATTAGCTGTACTGCTTAGTGAAAAAATTATAGACAAGCTACAAGGCTGTAAATAGAAGTCATTAGACTCCTGATACATAAGAAAGCTGATGTGATTAGTCATACTGATGTGATTTTGGTTATAAGCGAGGAATGACTTCTTCCAACAGCCCTATTTTGTGGCTGTGTGCCTAAATGTAAAGTTTATGTAGCAGAGGGGAGGGACTCAGTTGAAGAATTTTGTCCATGCAATTAAGAGACTGGTTCCGATTTTAGAAAAAATGCTTATTTCTATGTATAAATAGAATTCTTGCTGCTATTGCCAGATGAGGCTGTTAAAGAACTAAACATTTTGGTTCAATGACCTGTTTAGATGAGCCTACAATTCAGCCCTGAGGTCATTGCACAGATGTAAAGTAACACACAGAACTCCCAAGAAGGAAAACTGGTGCATTTGTAGCACACATCCCTTTGGTCGTGGGCTGTGTCAGCCTCAGTACAGTGCAGAAATCCTGAAAGATTTTGTCCAGGTGCTAAATTGCTGCATTTCTCCTTCGGAGCAAAGGTTTGGCCTGTCATGGGAGAGCATTCCTTCCCTCGTGAGCTGTGCGTAGAGGCACAGGTTGTGCCAGGAGTGAACTGCTCAAGGGAACCTTGTTACTCCTAGCGGGAGTAGCAGCAAATAGGCTGCGCTTCAGCAAGGGTTTTTCCTAAAATAGTGGCAGTGTCTCTGAGCTCGGACACCACAGTGCAGAATTTAGGGGTTTTCCAAGGCAGCCTGAAGGGCATAGCTACTGCCAAATTACCTTCCTCGTTCTTTGTCCTGTTGTTTTTTTATTTTTTCTTGGTATTGTTCTGTCTCCATTTCCCAGTTGAGCTCTTCCTTCAGTCTTCGGTGACGACACAGAAGTTGCAGTCAGTGAAGATCCTTTTCCCTGGCTGACATTAGATCAGCGTTCAGTCATCTGCCTCTGAGCTGCAAGGCAGATTTCCTGCGCCTTCCAGGCTGATTTCCCCTTAGTTAGTGCCTGCTATATGAGAGCGAGGAGCAGAGGGCTCCTTTGGGAGGGCACGAGCTCCTTCTCTGCACCTGCTGCTGCCCACTCCATGTGGCAGTCACAGCCATGCCCTCCCGTACGCGTCTGTGTGCAAACCCTGCGCAGGTCAGTGGCGTTACATGCCCTGAGTCAAGAGCAGGCCATCGGTCGTGCGAGCGGCACTGGGGAAAGAGGGAGCTTTAACTCTATCAGGGTACTAGGAGCAGTGGCATCTGTGCACGTCTCGGAGTCAGCTTGGAAGGTGCCGTGGTTTAGGGTCATCCCTAAGTGAGATCCAGGGGATAGGGAAGAGAATTAAAGGGGAAAAGGGAAGGAGACCCGTGGGTTGAGATAAGAACAATTTAATACTACTACTAGTAATATATGAATATATATATGTATAATGATAATAATATAAACAAACAAGTGATGCGCAGTGTAATAGCTCACCACCCAGT